GGGTTCAGTAGGACCTCTGCTCCACCCAGTCCAGATTGGTCCGTTTGATCCATATCCTTCTGGGTTGTTGAGTCCCGTCCATTTGCCGTTTCCCCTCTCAACAAACAGCTCTAAAAACCAAACCCCAAAGTAGCAGGTGCTAGGTCAGAGGTTGGACCTTCCCTCTTCCTCCATCCAGCCTCACCCTTACCTTACCGTCCTAGATCTGGGTCTATCGTTTTCTCCGTTCTGTCCGATTGATCCTTTCCACAATCACCCCTCCCATTCTCTTCAGTCTCGACAAATAAGTTAAACATTATAAAAATAAGAAGCATCAAAGACAAACCAAAACATCGAGGTGAGGCAGACAGGAAGTGGAGGATGTCTGAGGAGAAACAGGCGTTTTTTTTTCTCCAAATCCCCAATTGGCTGATATACAGTGGGGGAAATAAGTATTTGACCCCTTGCTGATTTTGCAGGTTTTCCCACTTACAAAGAATGCAACGATCTATAACTTTAATCATATGTACATTCTAACAGTGAGAGACAGAATCCCAAAGAAAATTCCAGAAAATCACATCATATGAATTTGTAAAAATTGATAACCATCTGATGAGGAAAAATAAGCATTCTTTGTAAGTGGGCAAACCTGAAAAATCAGCAAGGGGTCAAATACTTATTTCCCCCACTGTATGTTACACTGGCATGAAATGAGTAAGGTGGATATTGACCTTTTCGTGTCAGTTTTTGAGGACCAATGGTAGAAAGGCGGGTGGTTTTAAAATAAAGAACCAGAAGTCCACCTAGTTCCCGTTATTCTTAGCTGAGGAAGAGTCCAGAGTCTTTCTCTTCTGTCCATCAGAGATCCCCCTATCCTCCCCAACCCCCTGGATCACCTGGATTACTTTTAAAGTAAAGAACCAGAGGGGCTTTGCAAGTCCACCTTGTTTAGCTGAGGAGGAGTCCAGAGCTTAGTCTTTCTCTTGTGTCCATCAGAGATCCCCCTGACCCCCTTGATCACCGGCAGGTGTGGATCTCCACCATTTACCAGTGGTAGAAAGGCGGGTGGTTTTAAAGTAAAGAACCACAAGTCCACCTTGTTCCCGGTTGTCTTAGGAGTCCAGAGTTTAGTCTTTTTCCCGGTTGTCCTAGTCTTAGGAGGGGCTTTCCAAGTCCACCTTGTTTAGCTCAGGAGGAGTCCAGAATCTTTCTCTTATGTCCAGAGTCTTTCTCTTCTGTCCATCAGAGATCCCTTTCACCCCCCGACCCCCTGGATCACCGGTAGGTGTGGATCTCCACCATTTTGCACTTGTCCAACACCTCCACCTGACCAGTAGTAGAAAGGCGGGTGGTTTTAAAGTAAAGAACCAGAGGGGCTTTGCAAGTCCACCTTGTTCCCGTTATTCTTAGCCAAGGAGGAGTCCAGAGTCTTTCTCTTCTGTCCCTCAGAGATACCCCTGACCCCCGACCCCCTGGATCACCGGCAGGTGTGGATCTCCACCATTTTGCGGCACTGTTTGCACTTGACGTAGCAGCACCAGTGGAACTTGCAGCTGCACCTGTCCACCACCTCCACCTCCTGCGTCCTTTCGTGTCAGTTTCTGAGGACCAGTGGTAGAAAGTCGGGTGGTTTTAAAGTAAAGAACCAGAAGTCAACCTTGTTCCTGGTTATCTTAGGAGTCCAGAGTCTTTCTCTTCTGTCCATCAGAGATCCCTATCCCCCCCGACCCCTTTGATCACCGGCAGGTGTGGATCTCCACCACTTTGCGGCACTTGTCCACCACCTCCACCCCCTGCATCCTTTCGTGTCAGTTTCTGAGGACCAGTGGTAGAAAGTCGGGTGGTTTTAAAGTAAAACACCGGAGGGGCTTTGCAAGTCCACCTTGTTCCCGGTTGTCCTTTCTTAGGAGGAGTCCAGAGTTTAGTCTTTTTCTTCTGTCCACCTTGTTCCCGGTTGTCCTATCTGAGGAGGAGTCCAGAGTCTTTCTCTTCTGTCCATCAGAGATCCCTTTCACCCCTCGACCCCCTGGATCACCGGCAGGTGTGGATCTCCACCATTTTGCGGCACTGTTTGCACTTGACGTAGCAGCACCAGTGGAACTTGCAGCTGCACCTGTCCACCACCTCCACCTCCTGGGTCTGGAACCCTCTTCCGCAGCACATCAGCTCGCAGCCGTCGATGGCCTTGGAGGTGCGGTTGCACTGCCGGCCCACAGTTCCCAGCATGCCCGGCGTGCGCGGGTCGTGGTCGCAGAAGTCCGGACTGGGGTCCAGGTAGACCAGGTCCTCGTCCGTGTGCGGCTTGAACTGGGAGTTGCGCGGAGCCAGGACCTTGGTGGTGCCCACCTTGCGCTGCTCCACCTCCGTGGCGCCGTCGAACTTCTCCTTGATGACGTTGCCCACTTTGCGGAAGGGCGGCATGGCCCTCCAGCAGGTCTTCACCTCGCAGGAGCCCGACACGCCGTGGCATTTGCACTCCACACGCATGTGGGACAGGATGGCCTGCAGAAGAACACCAGGTTAGCAAACGGACATCTGGAGACAGGGGTTTCTATTAAAAAAAAACAAAAAAACCTGATCGGTAAACCTCATATTCCCGCGATTAAACGATAATGGATGGATGGATGGTATGTGCTAACTTTGAAAAAAACATGGTGCTGCCAGACACAGAAAATATAGTTTTACAGAAAACACAACAATATAAATTTAGATCTTGATCTTTTCTTACTAATTGAGGGAATATTTTAATCAAGGATAAAAAAAAATTGTTGGATGGATGGATAATGGATGGATGGTTAATCTTG